CAGTGCTTTTGCAATGATTTCCTCGATATTTTTCTTGTTTGGTGCAATTGTTATTATGCAATTCACCGTACGACAGCCAAGCCATTGGGCTGAACTTCCAGCTGTAACAAATTTCACTGGTGTTGTAATGTTCGTCGGCATGGCAATGTATGCGTTTGAGGGACAAACAATGGTAAATTCTTCCTAAATTTTAAAGATTTTATGGTAAATTTAGTTAAAATTTTGAAGAAACTTTGAAATTCTCGAAGTTTGAAACTTATGCAAAAAAGAATGCATTCGAATATTCTTTGAATGGCATTATCATTAAACATATTTTATTTAGCACTTTTTTTTGTAATAAAATAAAAGCGATTTGGTTCCTCTAAGTTTACATGAAGAACCAAAAAAAAATTTTTTTTACAGTGGTAGCACCAATTTTGGAAAAAGGAGGGAAGAGAAGTGGTTTGATAACGGGAATAGGAGAAAGAGGGTAGGATCAGTCGCTTTCGGGGATTTTTTGAAAAGATACCTTAGTTTTTATTATCAAATATTTTCAGCATGATTTTCCCCCTCCCTTATCTATTATCTTATGCACAATTTAACTCGCTGTTTTGCAGATTTTACCAGTAGAAAACAAACTTGAAACACCGGGCGATTTTTTGCATAATTTTGGTGTTCTTCCAACAACAATGTGCCTTTGTACGTTATTTATGATTGCCATTGGCTTCTATGGTTACACTGCATTCGGCGCCAGCACTCAGCCAACTATCACAATGAATGTGCCTAAAGAAGGGTATGTTTGTTTTTCCAGCTGATTTTTGATGTGTTTAGATATCATTGCTGGTTTAATGGACTAGGAAATGATGCGAACTAACATCTTCTTTCTGATATTCTTGGGTAATTTGCGCAGTGAATTCCCAATAACTAAGAGGAAAAATTCGCTCCTATTTTTATGCTTTTTTTTGCATCTATGTAATGCAAATACGCATATTGTCGAGGGGTTGTCTCTATGTTCGTCAGTACTGATTTTTCATCCCGAGACCTACAAATGCTACAGGGCTGAAATTCTGGGACAGGGAATATCCCTATAAAGTTTCAGCCCCTTAGCTCATGTGATCCCGAGGTCGCTTTTCCGTCAAAAAATTTGCATATTTTTTTAAAGCGTCCGTACGCGGCATCCAGGCACCCGAGGGGATGAAATTAAAACGGGGAGGTTGCAAAAAAAATGGTAGAGGCTACCCATATAGGGCCGCCATCCCCAAAATGGGGCTCTTACGTGGTCCTCACTTACGGGCCCGTCAAAGTCTTTGACAGGTAAGTTGCTTATTCGGAAACCTGAAAAGCTAGAACGCTGAAATTTTAAGTGGATGTTTTCTCA